TCATCTCATAAAAACAGTATTCATCAGTAAAACAATGGTTGTAGGAAGACTTCAAGATAAATAAAACAACAAGAGCATTATATTGACTGCAAACCCGCATAATCGTCCTTTAAAAGAAATGAAACAATCGTCGTTTAACGGAATTATGATATGCCATGATGCAACAATTCAATAAAGCAATAGATAACAGATAAATAGTTAACTCACATAGCCAAAATACGTTAGTTTTAAGGTTAGAATCCTCCTAAACTTCCCAGCAGAGTCGTCATTTCTGTTTTATCAAAAAAAATTGGAAATCAAAAAATATTTTGTTTTGAAGAGAAATTTTCGAAACCGCTAAAGACGCATACAATATGTCAAAACGCTATTAAATAAATGGCGAGTGATAGCCAGCTCAACACAAATATGAGAGAATCTTCTCAAACAGTAAAGGCACTTCAAAATGAAATGAGAGGTGGAAAGGGAAAAAAGAAGAAGAAGCAAATAACATAACTAAACATCAGCCTCAAACAAATGTCCAAAAGATGAAAGAAATAAAAGAAACGAAATTAAATGAGATAATAGGCGAAGTAGTCACCTCTTTCTGGGCAGCGAACTTGACAAAATGCGCTTGAGGAGAGCAACGATCCTTCCACACTAGTACTAAAGGCAGAGGGATATACCGAAAGCCGATTAGAAGCTCAGACTTCTGACAAAATCTACCGCTATGACCTCTCAATGAAAATATTTGTTAGCTCTCTTCTTCTTGATTCTTTCCTATTCGTTCCTTGACTAATTTCTCAAATAAGTTTCAGATATGGAGAAAATTTCCAAATCTCTCTCAAAATTTATTTCCCTCTAATTTCCAACCCCCTCACAAACGAGGAAAGGGGGTTATTTATAGGAAAATTCTAGGTTTTTTTTATGAGGGGAGGGCGGAGGGATTCTGAAGAAGGTGGGGGCAAAACGGGTAAGACCCTCAATCAAATTCAAAAATCCGTAGCCAGGACGAGAACAACTGGCTCTCTTTGTACCCGATTTCACCTAAAGCTGCTTGGAATCTAGACGAGGAAAACAACGTGGACGATTGGGATTAACCCGTCGTCCTTGCGCCTGTACGTGGCGCGATCTAATATTCGGAAGGACGAAAAAAACACGTCTGGCATCCTATTGAAGAATCGTACTAGTTGACAGGGAATTTGCAGCTTGCCCGGATGCCCAGATGATAGGAACGCGTCGTTTACAAGAATCGACCGTTGCTGCTCGAAGACTCTTTATCAAGTTCGTTGCTCACGTGTTGGACACACTTCATCCTTCGTCCTTATGTGAGGGAAAAAGAATGGAAAAAGAAGGAGGGATAAAGTGTGATACGCCCTGGAGTTTCTGTATCGACTTGCTGCGAAGAGAAAGAAGAAAACGCATGAAGGGGCCGTCTTCGACATGCTAGATTTAACGTGTACAACTGGATGTATGCTTACACATTTCTTTTGTGAGAGAAGGGGGGAATGGAAGTGGGTAGGGTTACCGGGTAATGGGGATTGGGCTGGGAAGGGTTGGAATAAAATTGGTTCTGCAGAATGAAATAAATGAACCGAGTGAAAATTGCTGATGGGCTGAAGATTTATTAAATAAAGACCCACTTAAGGTCTTAATCATTGTTCTGCTAAGAATAAGATATGTCAATAAACAAGCTCCTTAAATTTAACGAGGTGAGATAATCAATTTAATTAGAAACTAATAATTCAAAGCGTGAACTATTACCTACTCGAATTAATTCATAAAATAATTAAACGAAGTAAATATCTTTTTGAGGCTATTTGAGTGTATATATAATTATGCAAAACACATATGCTATTTCAAATTTATAGAAAAGCTGAGATAAATTATAAATAACTAGCAAAAAACTTAAAACTAAAAAAAAATCTTAAATCATACAAAAAATATGAAGCTCGTTAATTAACTCATAATTTGAGCATCAAAAATTGGGCGTCAACAACTGTCCCTCATTTTACTTGGATGGATGCAAGAGATTCGAGAAAAATGAAATTGATCAAACCAATTTTGACCGACCACATATTCATCTATAGGAAGGGATCTTGGTACGGACTTAACGAAGTATGGCCGAATTCTAGGCACGAGTTTTCTACATATCTCAGGCTCTATGAGAACTCAGGCCACTTGTAATTTGACTCAATCGGTTGAAAAGGAAATCTATTATGCTAGATAACCTTTGGTTTTGGATAAGTGACAAATTAAACGAGTATGAAAAGGAGGCTTGTAACCTCTTAGCCATGAATGAGGTGCTCTCACATCCATAGGTAAAAACTTACATGGACATAATTTCCAAACTCTTGGTGCACTGTCACTTAGGTTGGAAACTTGCTTCCAGTATATCAAAATTTCTAGATGCGAGACTAAAACAGACGAAACTCAAAGGAAAACCCATATGCCTTTTGATAGGGGTGTGGTTTGATTGCAGTGGAAGTCGCTCCTCTGCTCGCGTCCTAAAAGTTTGACATTCCTCTTTGGACTGTGTCTCAGTTCGCTGCTAAGAAAAAGTTCCACGTTGTGCTGCATCCCTTTTGATGTCGTCCCCACCTGTGGTTATTGGAGAATTCATCCTTTCGGATGCTCTCGACAAAGATTGAGATAAAAACTCATCACCTGAAAAATGCAATTGGGATGGGAGACAGTGTCTTTTACCATGTCGACACTCCATTGTTCTCCTCGATATTCGACGTCAACTTGATCGGTCTAACGTAAAGCAAATAAATCTTATTTCTGGTTTTTGCACCATAATCTCCAATGTGCTCTTCGCTTCAAGTCGAAATAAATAAATAAATGCTGATGTGATGCCAATATTTCTTTTGATGTCGTCTTCGATGCTCTTCTTGATATTTACTTTTATCAAAATAAAAGAATGCAGTTGATGCTGATGGATAAATATTTCTCTTGGGATGCATGATCTCCTTTTTTATCTGTGCATGCCTTTTGTGCGGGGCACGAATATCTTCCTGCGATACGTAAATTTCTGCGAGGTATGAAATCTTTCTGCAATGCGTAACTTTCTGCGAGGCATGAAATCCTCTCGCGATGCATAAATTTCAACGAGGCATGGAATCTTCTCGTGATGCATAAATTTCAACGAGGTATGAAATCTTTTTACGATGTATAAATTCGACGAGGCATGGAATCTTCTCGTGGTGCATAAATTTCTTGAGGGGTATGAATATCTTCCCACGGTGATAGCGATGCATGATCTTCCGTGATGCATGATTTTTCGTAATGCATGGATTTTTGACTCATGATGCATGATCTTCCGCGATGCATGGATATTAACTTGCAATGTATGATTTTCCGCGATATATGGGTATCGACTCGCGATGCATGAATCTTCATATCGTCTCTGATGATAATAATGGTAAAACGACTTCTACATAGTATATCGTCTTGATCAATAGTAAAATAATTGACCCCCTTCGGGTAACGACACTATTTTGATCGATAATGTGATGCAGATAGCGTCCTTTTGAGAAAACCGTAAACTCTCCCTTGAGATTTTTGCTTGATTCACCTTTGAATCTGGCTAGACGTTCTTTATAAATTTCACGTTGTTGGAAATTGATTGAAATAAACAATTCATATTCCCGAGTCTTCAACATGAGTGATATAAAATGATTCCTGCTTCCAGATAAACTATTGATTCTGGGATGATTTTCTCCTCTTTTGACTTCTCCGTATTCATTCATCGGACGAACTTGCCGATTTCAAAGCAAAGTTATAAACCTGCGTCCACATAAAAATTGTTTGTTTTAAAAATGAACTGATCTGGTTCGATTTCTTCAGTTGTCTACTCTTGGTCCTGCTATCTCCGGTTGATTTCCTGATCTCCCGACTCTTAATAGATAAGACAAAGTATTTTATGCCAAAATAAATAAAACATAAAAAGGGAATTTAAGAGAGAAGTGAATTTTTGAGAAATAGTATCTTAAAAGGTCACTGCCAATTCATGTCATATCAGGCTTAACAAACTTCTTTGAGTCTGACGCTTAGAGGTCTATCTGATCATTCATAGGTGAGTTGTCAGTCACTCCAGATTTGTAGATAACCCCATGCCGAAATTTTATGACCGTCCTCAAAATTTCTGTCCCAGTTAACTATCTTGCTTATCTTTCCGCTGTAGCTGAGTAGATTTTGAGATTTTCTTAAAAATTCTATCCCAGTTGCAGATCTCGAAACATCTTTAGTGTTGACTTGTTGAGGAGGAATCTTCTTCTCGAGTATTTTTGAGTTCCTCTCAAAAATTCTGTCCCAATTTCTATTATAAAGAGGAATAGAAATATCATGGAAGATATGACCGAACCCTTGTGGCGCCTACATATCCTTTTGAGGCAGGAATCAGGTCAAACGTAGTTCCCCCTCAAAGGTTAACAAAAATAAAAATTTACAAAGAAACCGACCGAGGCCGACATAGGCCGCCTACGTATCTCATTCTTGAGAATTCAAGTTGAACGTAGTTCAAATATAAGAAAATATTAAAAGGGATAAATGGGGTGATTGAAGCCGACGTAGGCGTCCTACGTATCTCATTCTTGAGAACTCAGGTCAGACGTAGTTCATTACAGGAGGGATACGAATTTAAGTAAGACAAATACAAGCAAACAGGATGATTACAAGTAAATAACAGAAATACAAGCTGAAGTTTCACACTTAGTATCTCTTGACAGCATCTGAGTTGATAGGTTTAGGACATACGATGCCATCCATCACCGACAATACCAAAGCACCTCCAGATAATACATTGCGAACCATGTAAGGACCCTGCCAGTTTGGTACGAACTTTCCTTTGTACTCGTCTTGATGAGGAAAAATGTGCTTAAGAACCAACTGACCAACTTAAAAATTTCTGGCTCTTACTCTTGAAAGGCGCGAATCATTCTCTGTCGATACAACTGACCATGACAAACGGCAACCATTCTCTTCTAATCAATCAAAGTTAGTTGATCAATCCACTTGCTGACCTATTCAGCGTTACTTAATTCAGCTTCTTGGATGATTCTCAAAGACGTTATCTCAACTTCAGCGGGTATGACTACTTTTGTTCCATATACCAGCAAATATGGAGTGGCCCCAATTGATGTTCTAACAGTTGTGCGGTATCCCAATAAAGCATATGGTAAAATCTCATGCCAACCTCGAAGCTTGTCAATCATTTTCCTCAAAATCTTCTTGATATTCTTATTGGCGGCCTCTATTGCTCCGTTCATTTGTGGACGATAAGCAGTTGAATTTCGATGAGTAATCTTAAATTGCTCACATATCTCTCTCATAAAGTGACTGTTGAGATTTGCCCCATTATCAGTAATGATGGATTCTGGCACTCCAAATCTACATATCAGATTGCTGCGAACAAAATCAGCCACCACTTTCTTGGTTACCGACTTGTAAGAAACTGCCTCCACCCACTTAGTGAAATAATCAATGGCAACTAAAATGAATCTATGTCCTTTAGAAATGGTTGGCTCTATCGGACCGACGTCATCCATATCCCAAGCTACAAATGGCCAAGGTGAACTCATAACATTAAGTTCGTAAGGTGGCACTCGGATCAAATCGTCGTGCACTTGACATTTGTGGCACTTTTTCACAAACTTACAACAATCATTCTCCATAGTCATCCATAAATACACGGCTCGTAGGATCTTTCTTGCCAAAGTGAGACCGTGCATATGCGTACCACAGACTCCAACATGTATTTGTTCAATAAGCTTCACATCTTCAACAACATCAACATATCTTAGAAGACCCAAATATGGAGTCATCCTATAAAGGACTTCTCCACTTAGAAAGAAATTGAGAGCCACACGGCTTATCGACTTCTTTTGATTGGACGTAACATCTTCGGGATAAGTTCCAAATTCCAAATACTTCTTTATATCAAAATACCAAGCCAAACCGTCTGTAAGTGCTTCAACATGGGAACAATGGACTGGATGTTCTTTCAACTCTATATCTAGAGGATCAATATAATATGTATCCGAATATTTAATCATCGAAGCGATGGTGGAAAGAGCATCGGCCAATTCATTCTGTATTTTGGGGGTATGTCTGAACTCGATCTTACAGAATCTTTTGCACAACTTCTGTACATACTGTACATAAGGTATAATCTTTGGGTTCTTTACAACCCATTCTCCTTGAACTTGATGAATCAAAAGATCTGAATCTCTAATAACCAACAACTTGTAGATATTCATGTCGATGGCCATTTTCAAACCAAGAATACAAGCTTCGTATTCGGCCATGTTGTTTGTGCAATTAAATCAGAGCTTAGCTGCCATGGGATAGTGCTGACTAGATTTTGACACTAAGACTGCTCCAATACCTTTACCTTGATGATTTGCCGCTCCATCAAAGAATAATCTCCAACCTGGATATGCTTCAGAAATATCCTCACCCACAAACAACACTTCTTTATCGTGAAAATAACTCTTAAGTGGTTCATATTCATCAACGGGATTTTTCGCAAGATGATCAACCAAAGCTTGTGCCTTTATTGCCTTCTGAGTCACATACACGATATCAAACTCACTCAACAACATTTTCCATTTAGCTAACTTTCCTGTCGGCATCACTTTCTGGAAAATATACTTTAATGGATCCATTCTGGAAATGAGGTATGTAGTATACGAAGACAAATAGTGTCTCAACTTCTGGTCTAGCCACGTCAATGTGCAACACCTTCTCTCCAACAAAGTGTAACGAGACTCGTATGGAGTAAACTTCTTGCTTATATAATATATAGCTCTTTTCTTCTTTCCTGTCTCGTCGTATTGACCAAGTACGCATCCAAATGCACTATCCGAGACAGAAAAAGTACAACAACAAAAAACTCCTTTCTCTCAGAGGAACCAATACCGGTGGGTTGGACAAATAGGTCTTGATAGCATCGAAAGCAGTCTGACACTCTTCAGTCAACTTTGTTGGGGCGTCTTTCTTCAGCAGCTTAAAAATAGGCTCATACACCACGGTTGATTGAGCTATAAATAGGCTGATGTAATTTAACCTCCCTAAGAAACTCATCACCTCTTTTCTCGTCTTCGGCGGAGGTAACTCTTGAATTGCTTTGATATTAGAGGGGTAGAGCTCAATACCCCTTCTGCTGAATATAAATCCCAACAAATTCCCGGCTGGAACTCAAAAAGCGCATTTGGTGGGATTTAACTTCCAGTTGTAACGACGCAAACGCTCAAAGAATTTCCTTAGATGTTTCAAGTGATCCAAACTCTCGTGAGATTCGATTATGATGTCATCCATGTACACTTCAATATCCTTATGAATCATGTCATGGAAAATGGTCCTCATAGCTTTCATGTAGGTGGCACCCACATTCTTGAGGTCAAACAACATCACCATCTATTGATATCCACCCCAAGGTGTAATGAAAGCCGTCTTTTCCGTCTTCCTCATCCATCAAAATTTGGTGATAGCCAGCGTAACAACACACGAATGACTGCATTTCGTGCTTGGCACAGTTGTCAATCAAAATGTGAATATTAGGCAACGGAAAATTATCCTTCGGGCTAGCTTTGTTGAGATCTCTATAGTCAACACAAATCATGATTTTCCCATCGTTTTTGGTGATCGGAACAACATTGGCCAGCCAAGTTTGATATTGTGTCACTTCCACCAATCGGGAATATATTTGCTTGGTGATCTCTTCCTTAATCTTTAAACTCAGTTCAGGATTGAATTTTTGAGTTTTTTGCTTCACCAGATTGAACCCTGGGTTAATCAGAAGCTTATGAGATACGACATCGGTACTCAACCCTTGCATGTCACCGACTTCCCAAACGAACACATCACTATATTCAGCAAGCAAATGAACTAGGCCCTCTTTCTGAGTTTCATTTAGGTGGGTGCTGATCTTAACCTCTTTAACACATTCCGAATCTCCCAAATTCACCATTTTCGTTTCCTCTAGATTTGGTTTATGCTGATTCTCGAACTGCCAAAATTCCTCGGTGATATAATCTGGTTCCTCACTTTCTTCTTCGTGATCGTCAGCCTCGTCGTCACCTGCCTCATTTTGTTCATTTAGCTCGTGACATGATATGACATTGGCAGGTCTGTAACTTATGTTACTGAAATCATAAACAGCCAAAATTAGGAAAGTAAGGTATAAAAAATGACTAAATAAATAAAGTTAAAAACAAAGAGGCTTTCATTTGAAAAATAGTGCAAACTCTGGTCATGGCGTGGGGCCATGTTGCCTGTTTTGAACATCACAATGAAAATTCAAAAATTTGAATAGTTAAGAAAATGCAAAAATGGTGGGTCTCGGGCCTCTTCCAAACTACCACCAATTTTAGTGTGCATGAAATGACGCCTTTCTACCGAAGAGTTCGGGGTATCAAGATCGGCGTGGAGGTCCAGTTCCGCAGCACCTTCCCTGGCTCAGCAATGCAGATACTAGCTAGCTCGACCTCTTCCTCGACAACAGCATTGATCTCCTCGAATAGGTCATAGATTCCTTCCCTAAGGTCTTCATGCTCGGTATACTCCCGGATTGGAAAGGATTGATACAGATGTTGGATCGGCTTAGCCAATGCTTGATCGTTTTTATTCTTCATCTTCACGTCATCGTCTGTGGGGTTGTACCCATAACCATATCTGGATTCCTTAACAAGGACCGGAACAGGCTCAATAATTCCTTAGGAATCTCTTCCCAATCCAAACCCTGGCTCAAAACCATTCTGTAGCATCACAGTGGCTATCATCTTGTATACGGCAGGCATAGGGGTCTGTGGGGCCAAGTCGTCACCGGTGGCATTTACCATCTCCACCGTGTAAAAGTCTGTACCTTGTGAAATATCATCAAGCTTCATCATCTGATGGAGAGTAGAGGGGACGGCTCCAGCCATATGGATGAACGGCCTTCCCTGAAGAAGGTTGTAACTGGTACCTATATCCAATACTTGAAATTGCGGTCTAAACTCTACGGGGCCCATTTTAATGGTCAAATTCACTACTCCAACGTGTCTCTTTGAACCCCATCAAAGGCTCTCACGTTGACATGGTTTTGCTCCAGTTTCCCGAGGTCAAACCTTAGCTGCCTCAATGTCGACAATGGGCAGATATTCATATCAGATCCGTCATCTACTAAGACGCGGTTGACAACATTTTCACGGCATATCACTGTGATGTGCAGCGCCTTGTTATGTGATCTTCCTTCGACAGGTAGCTCCTCGTCACAAAAGTTGATTCGGTGCCCTCGAATAACCTGATAAATCATGGCAGCCACGTTATCACTACTTGTACTTGAGGGTACGTAGGTATCATCAAGAGATTTCATTAAGTCCTGCCTGTGGGACTGAGAGCTCATCAGCAGGGCCCATATGGAGATCTGAGCTGGAGTCTTCTCTAAATGTTTGACGATGGAATAATACTTTGGTTGCATCCTTCTCCAGAATTCTTCCGCTTCTCCTTCGCTTATCGGCCTCTTAGACTGGTCCTTCTTCTATTCTCCGAGAGAAAGCTCGTCAGGAGTGTAACACCTTCCAGACCTAGTCATGCCTTGAGCAGCAACAACTTCAATAAAAAACTTAGGCTTGACGAGAGTTTCTACGGCACCAAGGAAACAACCTTTGTAGGTGTCAAAATAAAGAACTCTCTCTTTTCTTTGACGCTTAAAGAAGCGATGACCCTTTTCAAATCATCGTGAATGATGGGAGTAATCATCTTCGTTCCACACCAGTCTTCATCTGTCTCGATCATATTGACATTGCCGCCTCTATGATTCGGCAACGGGTTTGTGTTGACATTTGGTGCCGCTAGTTGGAGAGAGACTACCTCCTGATCAATCAGGTCCTGAATTTTGTGCTTGAGGTTGATACAATCTTCAGTATCATGTCCAACACTGTTGGAATGATAAGCACATCTCATCGGGTTCGTAGAACTTTTAATTGACATCCACGGGTTTGGGCCCTACATGGTGGATGTATCCAGCCGTAGCCAGCCTCTCATACAGTTTGGTCCGGCTTTCAGCAAGTGCAGTAAAGTTCTTTGAAGGTCTCTTCTCCAATCTGGGTCGGGGAGGGTCATAACTACCTTGTTGAGGAGGGGGCACCTATTGATAATTTCTGGTATTTGGACGAGGAACTTGGCCTCTGAGATATGGATTTGTTTGATAGTTTGGCGATGGAGCTTGGTAATTCGGAGGGGGATTTTGGTATAGTGGATCTTGGACTTGATAAATAGGAGAGGGTGCTCGTTAGCTCAACTGTACATTAGCTTAGTTGGGAGCAACACACTGGTAGGGAGATGAACTTTGGTAGGGTAGAGGATAATTTGGGTAAACGGGAGATGGACTTTGGTAATTGAGGGGTAGATTTTGGTATACGGGAGCTTGGACGTTTGCATAAATGGAGGTAGCATTCTTATTGTCGGGATGACTAGATGGCGTATAACGAGATTGGTAGGACTTTGATGAAGGCCGGGAACGACCTTGGGAATATGATGAGCTTCCGGGGTTTTTCTTCCCCCATATGAAATAGCAGCAACTTCTTCTCTTTTCTTTCTCAGCATACCTGAAGACCCAGGTGATGCCGCTACACGGGTTATATTTCCTGATTTTAAACCGTCTTCAATAGTCTCACCAATCTTGACTATCTCGGCAAACTTTGCTCCAACAAGCAATATGATTCTATCATAATATTCCAGCTCTGGCACGCGTACGAATACTTCAATGATTTCTTTATTAGTCATGGGTGGACTTACCCTCGCTGCTTCTTTTCTCCATCTATAGGAAACTCCCTATAGCCTTCGGTTGACTTTTGCTTCATTTTCTCCAGAGAGTACCGATCGGGAACTATTTCTACGTTGTAAGCTAATCGATCGATAAAGTCTTTAACGAATGCATTCCAGCTGGGCCATTGTCTGGTTTCGTGCGAGATAAACCACTCGAGAGCTTCTCCACACAGGCTCCGGCTGAAGATCCACATCAATAAAGCTTCATCCCTTCCAACTCCTACGAGCTGGTCACAAAAGGCTCTCAAATGAGCCATAGGGTTGCCCACTCCTCCGAAGGTGTCAAACTTTGGAATCTTGAACCCTTATGGAAGGTCCAAATTTGGGTGGATACACAAGTCCACTTAACTAAGTCCAACGATGTCAGGGATGCATTGTAGATCCTTCATGGCCTTCTTGATTTCCTCTTTTATATCAACCCTTACATATTCCTTTTCCCTCCATTCCTTTTCTTTCTCCT